CCCAAAAAAATAATTTTAAAATCCTGAAATACTAATATTTATTCGCTTACTTATAAATAGTATGACATTTTATATTGCGCAAATCTGTGTTACAATCATAGGTAGTCTATGCGCTTCACTTTTACATAATAGTACTCATGAAAAACATGCATACACACACACGTGACATAATAATTAAATGTGGTATAAGCGGAACTTTTCTGGAAAAACTTCTAAGGGAATAGCAGAGTTTACTCTTTTTTATGTCATGTTTTGTTTTTAAAAAGTTATGTTGTCATACATTATTTTCTTTGTTATTCTTTCACCTAACAAAAGTGTAATAATACTTTGGTTCTGGATCCCCCTTACTGGAGTTCTGAATCGATCCATGTCTAGATCTACCCTCACTCCTAGCCTAAAATTTGAAGTCTTTCACAAATGTTTATACAATGTACTAGATCTATCTATCTACCTGGTGCTACGGAATCAAGCAAGCTAAGTAATCAGATGATCGTGTTTACGATTGAGTTCACTCTATAGATATCTAGATCTAGTGTCTAGATTTAGCTAGATCTAGAAGAAGTAGAAAATGATTCAGTCCAAACAGGACTGTTGGGGAGGCCAGGTCGGGACGGGTCGGTTTGCTCGACAGACTGACGGCGCAAAGTGGCGATCGTGGCACAAATCGATCGCGCCCGACTCGTTGCCTCAAAAATAAACGCGTTGTTTTCAGGCAACTAGTCGGGCGACTGTGTTCCGACCCGATTTCATCCATGTAGTGCAAAAGGAAAAGGAAGTGGTAGATTTAATTTCAAGTATGAATTGTCCCCTTCACGTCGTTATTTTTAGTTGTGGAAGAAAATTTCGGTTATTTTTACCGAAATTGAATTCCAGGAGGCAATTTGACACGCTCACCCTAGCAGGATCCTTTCAGCACAACACTTTCAATGTGCAGGAATGCTTTGATTTTGTAAGAGGCATTTAAACGTGATCATATGTCCCACGGCACGGCATCAGTGATTTACAACCTTTAGATTTTAGTTTTAGAAAAAGTTTTACGGCACTTGCAACACAACAAGGTCACATAAGTGCCAAAGAATAGAGGTGTTACAAGACAGTAACAAACAAAAAAGAAGGAGAGTAGAGATAACGATGATAGAAGTTTGATAGGAAAGAAGGAGCACCATAAATGAGATGACATTATTTCCCATCTACGCATAAAAACCATCATCTCCTTCCTCTATCCCAGCCATTGGAAAATTCCGTAAAACTTCAGACATGGCTAGTCTGCACTACACTTAATGCTATGCGAAAAAAATAAAAGCAATGACAAAAATCTGGAACTGAATGCCATGTATA